AGTTCAATACCCATTTCGCTCGTTAAACAATTAACTCACATTTCACGTCAAAAACCCAATCGCGACTTGATGAAATTAAACCAAAATTTTCAGATCAGTCCTATAATTCATGATTTAAATTCAGGAAGTCTCGAAATCAAATTTGGATCTCTAGAACTAAAAATGAAATTTTAGATCATTACATTTATGCTCAAAATGGCAAAAATCTTTCAAAAATGACCCGTTCGGCTTTCGAAACACACCCGAGGCCCCCGGGACCCCGACCAATAATACCAACCAGTCCCAAAATATATTACAGACTTGCTCGAGGGCTCAAATCACATCAAACAATGCTAAAATCATGAATCAACCTCCAATCCAAGTTTTATGAACTTTAGAATTTCCAACTTCTATTTCCGATGCCGAAACCTATCAAATCACGTCCGATTGACTTCAAATTTTGCACACAAGTCCAAAATGACATAACGAAGCTACAGAAATTCTCGGAATTTCATTCCGACTGTCAGATAAAAATTTCACCTATCAACCGGAAATCGCCAAAATACTAACTTCGCCAAAATGAGCTAATTTCTTCACCGGACCTCCAAAATTAATTCCGATTGCGCTCCTAGGCCTTAAATCATCCCCCGAAACTAACCGAATCATCGGAATTCAATTCCGAGCCCTCTAACTCACAAGTCAACGTCCGGTTGACTTTTCCAAACTAATTCTTCCTTAAAGAGACTAATTGTCCCATTTCATACCAAACTCGATCCGAATTGACTCAAATTCACCAAGTACACATATTGAAACATGAATAAGCATTTAACGGGGAATACGGGATGAAAATACAGGAAACGACGGTTCGGGTCGTTACAGTTCCAAGCCTCGGGAAGTCTGTAGTTGTGGACACTACATCTTCTGTACTGACATAAAAGTAGTCGAGCCAGAAGTTACAACTAGCTTTGTCATCCATCCTCACCACCAAATATTTTCCCCCGCGGTGGCAAAGATTCAACAAGGTCCATCGAGGCGAAGAGGTTGATCAGGTGGCGCACTGTAATGTTGATGCCGGCCAATTCGATGAATTTCGTCAACATCATGCCCACCTTAAAGATACAAGGGGCGAGCTACACTAGGAACACGTTGTAGTACCGGCATAAGTCTTCTATCTGCGGCGGTAAAGGAAACGAGTACCCAATCAAGAACGGATATGCGTAAAAGACATAGAAGCTGGGATGGCGAACCTCGTCATCGCCCGCTGGGATCGAATCTATGTGACCAAGTAGGCCGAGTCTAGACTTGAGCTTAGCTAATCGCTCCACCATCATCGCAGATTTGAACCGCTCTGTCACCACTTCCAGCACCTTATGGAAGTCTGATTTGGCATCGGGATATCGGGGTACAATCTCCTCTACAGTGGGTAAACTTTCTTCCTCGGCGGCAGTTCCGCTATTTTTCCCCTAGTCGAGAAAAACAACGTCTAAAGGAACTGAGTGATCTTCCATATGAATAGCTGATGATTGCAGGGACATTGTTGCTAAAAAAAGATGGTAAAGCAAAAGGAAACAACTTTCGAAAACAACAAAGAGTTGCAAGGATTCCGCCAAGAAGATAAAGGAGAAGCTCTTGCTTAAGAAAAAGAATGAGTTTGGAAAAGTTTCAAAATCAACAAACCATCCCCTGTTTACACGATTTGGGGGCACCAGAATCGAAACGGCAGAACCAATCAAGGATCAAACTTGAATCGATGTGACACGTAGGGAAACGACGTCATTATGACGTGTGACGTCCTCACATCACCTTTTCACTTGGAGCAGATAGCTCCAATGGACTTCCCCGAAAATTCAAAGAATTCAAAATATGCAGGCCTCAGAAAGCCACGTTGTTCTGTCTCCACGACCACGACGTATATTGATAGCTCGATAAAATTGTATCACAAACGACACTGTCCATTCATCGGCGTCGTCCGCGAGGACGACCTCAATGAGCGGAGGGACTAACTGTATGGGTCAAAATCTATCTCTAGAATACTTAAGTCAGGATGGCATTAGCGAAATATTCCCAGGATGCCACGTGTCGAAGTGGTTTAGGGAACAATGAAGGTCATGGTTGAAGAATCAGCAAGGACTGAGGTCGAGGAGTCATCAAGGATCGAGGGTGAGATCGAATACCCTTGACAGAGTCATAACGGCTAGTTTCAAGATGGACATTAAAGAGAATATTCTAGTGGATATTCTCTACACTTGTACTATTAGAGTTTCTAGGAATATGTTCCGTGTAAATAGAAAGAGACACAATAATAGGGGACATGAAATATCCACTTGTAAAATACACTTTGACTTTATAGAGAGAATCTTGTCTTATTACATGCATATAAAAATAACTTTTTTACTAAGATTTTGGTCCACACTTTCCACTGGATTTGATAATAACTTGAATATTCAAAAGCTTATCCATCATTCATCATTGTCAGAAAAAACATCCATTGATTTCATCCTTTCCCGGTGACTCATTCATTTATTTACATAAACGCTATTTATTGTTATTCATCACTATTTAATGTGCCATTACTTTTGTTTGAGTCAATAAATATTGTTATTATTGTGCACCATCGTAACCTTCGGAATAGATCTACATACTATTTATCATAATACCGAGAATTTCGTCTTTAGGATATTAGTATTAATCAAGATTAACCCTTATTTGCATAAATCTAATTAGTTGAACTAAAATCTATATTTGGTCAAACAAAGAATCCTTTTATAAATGTTATAGATTTACTGTTATCTTTATGATTGTTATTTTAATGTAATGCATATTAACTATATATTCAAGTTATATTTCTTAGTGATGGAGCCAGAAATCCATATAAGAGGACTGAAAAATACCCAAAAATTTTTACTTAGGATTTGAACTTGTGAGCTAAGATAATGAATCTCTATATCACTTTAATATCATCTTCTTATGTCAAAGGGATTCAAAATTTTATATACAACGAAAATGTTTGTTTGTCCTATTTGCGCAGTCTAATTTTTTGGCGATGGAATACAAATTGAATCCTCTTACCTCCTTTGCCCGTTAAACTTTCTCTCTTATTCTTCTTTGTAAATATAGATTTTTGGATTTTGATTTCCATTAATGAACTAATTTCAAAATTTATATTTTAAAATTCATTTATAGTAAGGTATAACATAATTTAAATTAAAGATAACCATTAAAATATCATAGAACAAAATAAAAGGTATTATATAGAGGAGGGAATTAAAAATTCAAGGGCAAAAAAGGCATTGTGCAGGATAAAGGAGAGAAAATGATTATTGTTCAAAGTTGAGGGAGAGTTTTACTTTTAAAGCAAAGTTAGGGTATGTAAATGATTTTCACCCTTTTAAATATAGATATGGAGAACATGCAAGATACCATTAAGATTCATGAGATTATGAAATGATCTATTTTTTTGAGTATTTGTATCCTTCAATCGTCAAAAAGAAAAAGTGAAAAAGTAAGTTCGATACTCAAGTGTTCTTTTTAACTGGAAAGAAACAAGCGTTGTTAATTATGTGTGACACCTAATGGGCTTAAAATCAAGTAATTACTAATCAAATTGTGCCACTTCAAAGCAATAATTTGCCTTGTTGAAAATTCATATATGATCTTAATAAGTCAGTGACGTAAAAATTACACGGGCGTTTTGGTCGCCCCCATTTAACCTATACCCATTTTTTAAAAAACTTTTAACTTGTACTCACTTTTTAAATAACTTCAGCCCCCTTCCTTATTCTTCTTCTTCTTCTTCTTTCTCATCGTCCAATTCATAATCTTATAGGGAATCGAAGGAATCACCTAGACTTATTCTTTTTACTTTCTCATATACATAATAATGATGTGAATGTTTGAATTAGTCAAAATGAATTAAGTTGACAATGTTGAGCATATACCATGCTATAAATATCACCATTGTTGTTGTTAGTTTCCTCACCAAGAAATCCAAAAGGAAAACAAGCTAGATATGGCGAAATACACAACCTTCGTTGCCCTTCTCTTCTGTCTTCTCCTTATCGCTGCTACTAGTGAGTCAAATTAAGTAGCTTATTTATTTTTTTAAATCAAATTAAAGGATTGGGATGTTCAGGATTGTCCCAAGATACAAAACAAAAACTTTCTTCGATAAAAACTTCAGCTCTAGAGCTGAAGTTTGCCAGTTACAAAAACAAAAGAGCTGAAATTCGCCAGTTACAAAAACAACAACTTCAGCTCTAGCCAGTTACAAAAACAAAAAACTTCAGCTCTGCCAGTTACAAAACAAAAACTTCAGCTCTAGAGCTGAACTTCAGGTCCGGCTACTAGAATGCTGAAGTTTTGCGTGATTGCCTTTGCTACTTCAGCCCTACGAAAAAGCGGGTACGCTTGCAATTTTTTTGGCAAAGCGGACACAAGTTAAAACGTGACACAAAAAGCGAGTATAAATGCAAATGTCCCGTCAGTGACGTTAGTGCCAAAAGTATAAATGTATAATCATACATATTTACAGCAATAGTTCACTATGGGTTATTCTCAGATGTAGATTGAGAACATAATCATGTACGTAATTTATAGCACTGATCATAACAACCGTTCACCTAGTCTAGTAGTACAAAAAAAAACACAATAGATTCACATTAATGTGCTTCTTAATCCTACTAGTTAAGAAAAAATGAAGAGCAACATGGTTCATTTCAGATTTGACTATCTGTAGCATGGGAGAAAAATTTCAGGAGATCACAATGCATATACAACCAGTAATACAACCTTGCCCTTGAATGTGAAGGCGGATCTAGAGGCCGTTTGGATTGGCTTAAACAAAATGCCGTTTCAACATAAATAAGTTTTAAGTTAAAAAGTAATAAGTTGGAGTTGCCCAGCTTATCGTTTTTGGCTTATTTTAAGCAGTCTTTAACTTAATTTAAGCACTTTTTAATTTTCCCAAAAACTAAAAAGAGTTTAAAAGCTGATTTGACCAGCTTAAAAGCCAATCCAAAAACACCCTCCTAGTCGTCTGCAATAATATAATAGTACCTTTTATTTTTAAAAAGCTTTGGATAGCTTAAAGCGGACAAAAACGCATGTTCCCATAGCGTTATGTAGGCTTAACTCCTCTCTTTAATTAAGGATTCCATCCAAGGACGATATGGATTGAATCTTTTGGTTTTTTATATCAACGAGCTAGACCCCTAAATGCTCGATTCATCATTGATTTCTGTAATTCATTTCTCTTTTGTATGTGTATGCGTGTGTGGAAAAAAAATTCAAAAAATAATAATAATACATTAGCCAATAACTTGAACCCGTAAAGCTTAAATTTTGAACCAATGTACTATTTTTTTAAAATTTTATTTTACTATGGAAATGGTATAACTTAATATAGATCATCATGCAACAGGAGAAATAAACCATTCTAAAGATTTAAGGACTTGGTGTAAAGCTTAAGTCAACATGGGATTAAGAAAAAACTCTAACGCTAGTTGTATTTCGTGGTACATGCCAAACAACCAAATATTATGGTGTATTATAAACTCCAATTTTATAAAGTAATCCAATATTAAAAAAACTATTTAAATCTTATTTTTTTAAAATTAAATCAAAATCAAATCCAAGGTGTCAATTTAGAACGAATGATATCTTCCTCTAAATTAAAGAGTTCGTTCGAGATAAAGCTTTTTGAAAATTGTAAAAACTGAGAAATTCCATTAAATCATTCCAATAGCTGTTCACGCTTACTAATCCACAAATCATTTCTAACAGAATGAAGGAGGAGGAAGAACTTAAAGATTAACATAATGAAGTAGTAATCAGATACTATATGAACTTAAACATTAACTTTTCTCATGACGTCCTTGTATAACAGTCATTTACTATAAAAGTAAGTTTTTCTTGGAACTAAGTTTTATATTATGCTATAATATATGTCCTCTATAACAGCATTTCACAATAACAATCAGAAAATAACGGAACAAACGAGGTTGTTATAGAGAGATTTGACTGTAATTGCATCAGTTTCTCATCTGTCTTTTTTTCAGATGACTGCAAATCCATCTTAACATCCTCATTTCTACGAGATTTATCTTGTGTATATGTTGAACACTTGAACCCGAGATACAAGAACTAAGCTAACATAAAGGATATCTGTTGAGGATTATTAACATGTTAGGGAGCTGAAAAACAACACTTGATATTGCAGCTGAAGGATATAGATTAGGTTGCTGAAGGATCTGGCACTTGTGTTTTTGTACCTAAGAGGAATTAATTCTTGACTTATTTTGCCATTTTAACAGTAAGTCAGGAAGGTTTGTCTGGAATAACAAGGTCAAACAGAGGTACATTAATTTGTCATAATCTGGTAATGCAACCCTGATGATAAATATCTCTTGCATTACACAGTTCTTGAACTGCTGATGAAATAGATTCACACAGTAGTATCTACATTCTGAAAAATAGCGCGGCAGAAGTAAACAGTTTGCCTCTATATGATCTTTACCATTCAACTACATTGCCTTCAAAACAAAATCATGTCGACCCCAATGCCAACCCCAAGGGTGACGAGAAGCAAAAAATCAAAGGTACCTGGCAAATCATTGCAGCTTGCTTGAAAAATTCAAGCTTGCAACAACTTCCGGTACCAGTATTTTAGTGCTTTTTTAATGCATCACAAAGAATTATAGTACCAGTCATTCTCACTAACAACACTACTTTTCTAAGAAGGTCAAACAATCTCCACTGCTAGACTTATGCCATTCACTTTTGACTTCCTTCCACCTAAAGCTAAACTAGAAACTAAACTGTAGATCTCGATCCCAGGATAGCACTTGTGGGGCCTAATGGAGCTGGAAAGAGCACACTGCTTAAGCTGATGAAAGGGGATTTACTCCCCACTGATGGCATGGTTAAGCGGCATAACCATCTAAAAATTGCGCAGTACTATCAGCATTTGGCTGAGAAGCTAGACATGGATATGTCAGCTCTTCAGTACATGATGAGAGAGTACCCTGGGAATGAAGAGGAGGAGATGAGGGCAGCAATTGGGAGGTTTAGCCTCACAGGTAAAGCTCAAGTAATGGCTATGAAGAACTTGTCGGATGGTCAACGTAGAAGGGTGATTTTTGTGTGGTTGGCTTATAGGCAACCTCACATGCTGTTGCTGGATGAGCCAACCAACCATCTTGATATCGAGACAATTGACTCACTAGCAGAGGCATTGAATGAATGGAATGGTGGGATGGTTCTAGTTAGTCATGATTTTAGGCTCATAAACCAGGTTGCCCATGAGATATGGATATGTGAAAATCAGGTTGTGACGCGACGGGAGGGTGACATCATGGACTTCAAGAAACACTTGAAAAAGAGGGCCGGATTGCGCGGCTGAAGCAGATATTCTTGATGTTATATTAGAATGGGATGGTATCACTGTTTCCTCTTGGTTGTTCAGCGTCAAGGGTAACAGTGAAATATCATCAGGCCCGTCAAGGAAGCTGACGGGGAGAAAGTAAAGATTTTTCACCAGTAAGACCTAGTAATGTTAAAGCTAAGACCATGCCTAGAGCTGGTGCTAGATAGAGGAAGTGATCAAACCATGGTCACCATATGAATCTCTGGTTATTTTTTTGGCTTAGTTCACTATTTGTATTGTCTACTTTACTCTGTTTACATATTCTGGAGAGGATTCATGGCAGCATTTTTCTAATGTTACATCATGTTTGTTATCTATTGCTATTTATTGTACTTCAAATT